GAAGATGAAGGTACGCCTAACCCAAGCCATGGTATTTTCTAATTGCCTTTTATGCATGTGAGAGCTGGATAATAAACAAGGAAGACTGAAGAAGAATTTATGCCTCTGAGTTGTCGTGTTGGAGAAGAACACTAAGAGTACAATGGTCTGCTAAAAGGACTAACAAATCTGTCCTGGAGGAAGTGCAGCCAGAATGCTCCTTGGAAGCAAGAATGACCAGACTTCATTTCACCTACTTTGGTCATGTTGTCAGAAGAACCATTCCCGAGAGAAGGATATCATGCTTGGTAAAGTGGAGCGCCAACGAAGAAGGGGAAGGCTTTCAACGAGATGGATAGACACAGTGGCGGCAACAATGGGCTCAAGTATAGCAAGGATTGTAAGGCTGGCACAGGACGAGGTGGTGTTTCGTTCTACTGTGCAAAGGGTCACTATGAGTCAGAGCCGACTCGACAGCATCTAACACCACCACCACCAACTTCTTCCCCTTCCCTTCTTATCCTTTTTTTAACTTCTTACTTGGTTTTACTTTAGGCCTATTAGGAACACTTAAGTGTACCAGAGCTAAAGAATTGCTGCGTATCTGCCAGGGTAAATCCTCAGAGCCACTTTACTGTATATTCTACATCTCACAAAGAAAAGTCCCCAGGGACACATTTAGAGCTTCAGAGTTTACCAAACAGTATAAATAATTCATCTGAAATCTACACAGCTACAGGAGCTTTTGGTCTAAGGAATAAAACAAAAGTTCCTATTGCTGGTTAGGTCTCATTCTTTAATCTCCAAAAACAACCCAGTAGAGTAGTGGTTGCACAACATGGCAAATGTGCTAAATGCCACCCACGTGTTCTTTAAAATGGTTACTTTTATGTTACATGAATTTCACCTCAGTTAAAAAACAAAAAGTAACAACTAAGAACTAAGATACATTTTTCACATATTTTTTAAATCTCAAAATTTAAAACAAATATTAAACTGCTCAACATGTATTTTTTAAATATCCACCTTATCACCACTGTTTTAATTAAATTCCAACATAGCGACATTATTTAAAGGCTTCAATTTTAAAAGCCATCAAATTACATTAGAGCCTCTGGTGTACTGGTTTCTTCATTCTCAATCCTTTCTCTTTTATATTTTAATTTGGTACCTTTACACCACAGAAATGGGGGCAATAGTGGTTCAGTGCTAACATCTTCACTTTCCATGAGGGAGGCTGGAGTTCAATTCCCAGCCAGTGCATCTCATGCACAGCCACCATCGTCTGTCGGTGGAGTTTTTATGTGTTGCTGTGATGTGGAACAGGTTTCAGCAGAGCTTACAGACTAAAATGGACTAGGAAGAAAGGCCTGGAGATCCATGTCCAAAAATCAGCCAATGAAAACCTATGGACCACCACAGGTCGATCTGCAACTGATCGTGGGGATGGCACAGAACTGGGTAGCGTTTCATTCTGGTGTGCCTGGGGTCACCAAGAGTCGGGGGCCAACTCGAGGGTAGCTAACAACAATAACACACTATGAGAGGGTAGAAATGCTATTATGTACTGACATCCTTCCAAAGCAAACCAAAGTACAGAGGCAAGGACAAGAATAAGGAAGAATAAAACTTAGATGGCATCTTTTATTTACCAGAGCTTTATTAAAAGTTTTTGTTTATTGACTGGCTGTTTAAGAAATTTCTTCCTTTAAAGGAAACAAGGCACCGTTAACTGATCCAAACAACCAATTCAGATTCTCATCCTCCTTCTCAGAAGTAAATTAATTTTGCTTTATACACTTTTTAAGTATATGTATGTGGCTAGGGGGAGGGGAAACAGGGAGGCTTGCTTTATTTGCTTTTCAAATCTTCACAGCCTTTTTGAAAAACAGCATCTTCAGATAATTTTTGCATGCACTGCAGATTTTTGGCAGGGTGATTGTCCTATTTCAAAAGCTTTGCTGAATTTGAAAAACTACAATTACTGTTTTCATCATGTCATGTCAAAAATTCTTAGGAACTATTAAGACTGCTCTTCATTCCCTGACATGCTTAAAGGGTTCAGATTTGGCATTTAGTCAAACAGCAAGAGACATAAAAGGGAGCAACTCAGCTAAATCCTACAGCTCAGGATAAAGCGCTGGTGATTAAACACATGTGACCTGATTTTCATAAGGCAGGAAAAACAAATACCTTTCCAAGCAAATATTTTATCTGCCTTTAAGTTTTTTCTTAGCAGGATTATCTCAATGGCAGCCAAGAAAACGGAGCTGCTTTCAGTTTGGGTTAGCAAAAGGTGATCTGGCAATGATTACAAGTATCAGAACTGATTCTTAAACTAGGAAAAATCACTCTGTTTTGTAAGGGAAAGCATGAAGTTTTATTTTGTGCAAGGAAAACTGCAAATATAAAACTGTGAACACCAAACTATTTTGAATTCTAGGTAAGATCAACAGAAACATATACATTTCTGAGCAAACAACAAGACAAGGAAGTGTTCTTTGCTGTTTGAGATTCAGAAAGGACCGGCAGACTGCAGACCCAAGCCACTTAAAATTTTTTTCAAGAAAAGTATCTTGTCTTAGAAACTCTTAATGGAAAAGGAGAACTGGCCCACAAATATACCATTACATTACACAGTTTCATATACAACGTAAATAAGAAAAATTTTCAAATCTCTTTACACCTTGCTGTTGTTGTTAGGTGCCATCGAGTAGGCTCCGATACAGAGACCCTCTATGTACATCAGAATGAAACACTGTCTGGTCCTGCACCATCCTCACACACATTATATACTCAATATAACTAGCTAAGCCCTTTCTACAAACTCATGTTAGAATATTAGGGAGACTTAAATATCATAATGAAATTAACAGAACAATTTGATTATATCAAGGAGCTCTGATGAGACAGTGCCTAAGGCATTATTTGACTGCTAACCTGAAGGTTGGTGGTTCAAACCCACCAGCCACTCTGTGGAAGGAAGACTGGGCAATCTACTTCTGTAAAGATTTACTGCCTTGGAAACCCAATGAGGGTTGCTATGAGTTAGAACCAACTCGATGGCAGCGGGGTTGGTTTTTTGGTTTATTTGAGTATGTCAGTTTTCCAATTTTTCTTGTTCTTCATCGATCTTAAGTAAAAGGAGTAATGAGAGGGGGGAAGAGGTGATTCTTTGAAATAAAGGTGTTCTATCATATCATGTAAATTAGAATTTTACAGGAAAATAAACCACTACCCTCAAAACAGCAATGTTCTCCTTGAATCAAAACAGAATTGCTTAGACAGTTCCTGGTATCCCTACTGATTCAAACAAAATTACCTGTATTAAAAAAAGTAAAAGTCTTTCCTAAAATAAAAGGAAGGCTTTTCTAGTGAATCATATGATAGTGTTTGATCAACTGTGGTAGGCAAAAAAATGCTCTCCTAAAGATGTCTGTGTTCTAACAATCTCCAGAATTTATTAATATATTAGTTTACACAGCAAAAGACCTTTTGAAGACATCGTTAAGGTTTAGGAATTTGAGATGAGACTATCCTGAATTATCCTGGGTAGTCTCAATCAAATAATCAAATCATGTGAGTGCTTAAAATTAGAGAATCTGTCTCTGCTATAAGAGCTCTGGTGGTGTAGTGCCTAAGGTATTTGACTGTTAACCAGAAGGCTGGTGGTTCAAACCCACCAGCCACTCCTCAGAAGGAAGACTGGACAATCTATTTCCATAGAGATACTTCCTCAGAAACCCAAGGAGGGGTCACTATGAGTCACATCTGACTCAACGGCAGTGAGTTTTTTTGTTTTGTTTTTTTTTTTGTCTCTGCTGTGGTCAGACAGAGAGAGATGTGATGACAGAAGGGTCACAGAGATGTAATGTGGCTTTGAAGATGGGGGAAGGAGGCCACAAGCAAGGACTGTTGGCAGCCTCTAGAAGCTAGAAAGAGACAGATTCTCTTCTTAAGTCTCCAGAAGGACACTTTGATTTGAGCCCAGTGAGATCTGTGTCAGACTTCTGACCCATACAACTGTAAGATAATAAATTGTGTTGTTTTAAGCCCCTAAATTTAAAATTTGCTATAGCAGCACAGAAAACTAATACAGTAGCCTGGACTCTTTTTAATAAAAATAGTAGCCTATTTTCTTTTTCTCAAAAGAGAATAATTTCCTTTTGGTATGCACAGGGACAAAGCTCAGGGGGCAGGAGTGCATGGAGGGAAGGACACAAGGAAGAGGTAACTATGGGGAGGAAGTGGGAGGGGAGCTGTTGCATTGCGGTAAATTATAGTCAATGTCATGAGACAAAGTGTATGTGAGCTGCTGTATGGAAAGTGAATTTGCTCTGTAAACTTTCATCCAGATCACAATTAAAAAAAAAAAAAAAGAGAGAGAGAGTAATTTCCTTTTGGATAAAATAATGAGATTTCCTAAATATAAACATAAAATTTAAATATGAAACTGCCTTCTCAACTAATACAATTCAAAGTAGAGTCTTCCCATAAAAATCTGTAAATATATACAGATACTCCCTGCTTCACAATGTATTTGAGTTACAATAAACCACACTTATGACCTTCCTTTTTTTTACTGACACATCTTATCATAATATGTACTGCATACAATGTTGCAGTACGTAATTTGCTTATGTCATCATACCTGTAAATTTAATGTAATGTTTATAACTCCCAAAAACAAATAAAGATTGGATTTACAAATATACTGATAATAAAAGGCAACAATAATGAAAACTATTTTAAAAAATGAGGTATTCTACTTAAGTCAGAAGCAACCTGTAACAGAGTAGTCGGAACAGAATTTTACCGTAAGTCAGAGACTACCTGCACTTTAAATCTATTAGAAACCTTTCAGATAATGTCCAATGTTAAGTGTTACAGTACAGATGGATGAATCAACAAACCTTCTTCCCACCCACTCAGCCCCCTAGTCCAAAAACAAGTCTATGGTACCAAAAAGAAGGCAGTACTGGGTGACTAGCGTCCTCCTTCCCTTGGATTTTATTACTCACTCAATGAACTCCTGTTTACACTGCTGTAGCATCTCACATGTCTGCTGAATCTCTTGCTCACTCAGAAGCACCAACATCCCAATAGTTAAGTGAAGCTTTTTGGGATTCTGGAAAATTGTGCAATTGACCCCACGATCCTGTTATCAGAGGGAAAAAAGTAAGAAACTCAGTCCATCAAACAGTCAACAATTACTTTAAAAAAAAAAAAGAGAAGGTAAGGAGGCGGGGAAACTAGATTAATTAATGGAAACAGAACATCCAGAGGGGAAATACTGAGAGCATTCACACATTGTGAAGAACATTAACTAATGTTACTGAACAAATTGTATAGAAATTATTGAATACGAACCTAAGCTGTTGTGCAAACTTTCACTAAAAACACAGTAACATATTATTTTTTAAAAAAGAAAGAAACTCAGCCCATGCAAAAGGAAATGGTAACCTAATAGAATGGCATGGCCCAGGAAAAACAGAAACAGAATGTCATCCAAATGTAAGGTCTAAGAATATCTTCTGTTCCTCACAAACATTAGTTAGTTCCAGAGCACTGGGCCCATTATGAGTCCCCCAAAGAGTAACATACTCTTGAGGGGAGGGAACACCGCAAAAATAAATAAATAAATATTTTTAAAATGTTAAAGAATAAAATACTCTTTATAAAAAAACACAAGGCATTTCTATCTTAAGAAACCCTGCTGGTACACTCGTTGAAGTGCTCAGATGCTAACTGAAAAATCAGTGGTTTGATTCCACAAGCCACTACATGGGAGAAAGATGTGGCAGTCTGCTTGCAAAAAAATTTACAGTCTTGGAAACACTATGGGGTAGTTCTACCCTGTCCTATAGGGTCTCTATGAGTCAATCGACTTGACAGCAAACAAAAACAACATTTCCATCTTAACGGAGGCTGTAGTATTTTCAGGTAAAATATTTTGGGTTAGTTAAAAATTCTCCCAAGCAAAAAGACAAGGAAAAAATGAATCTGGAGAGCTATCTACACACTGGAGCTACTAAATCAAATATGGTCATCCTTTTCTGGTATCACTTTAAAACTTTGGCATCTTGTTGTTGTTGTTATGTGCCGTCAAGCCATCTCCTGACTCATAGTGACCCCTCCTTTGGTTTCCGAGGTAGTATCACTATGGAAATAGATTGCCCAACCTTCCTTCCGAGGAGTGGCTGGTGGGTTTGAACTACCAACCTTCTGGTTAGCAGTCAAGTGCCTTAGGCACTATGCCACCAGAGCTCCACTTTGGCATCTAGGAAGTATAGAAGGTAAATATACCTTAAGAATCCCACCCCAGGACCAGGTTTGCTGGTCCAATAGAGCCTGGTGTAACCACTGAGACTATGGCCCCTAGCTGCCCTTCAGGTCTGGAATTGAACCCACA